GACGGAACAGTTTTAAAAGTGGGGGTGGGGGGAGGGGGCAAGGCCCAGTCATTAGACTGAAAAGAATACAATGATGAAGTTGCAATGTACCTGTACCTCCAACGGCTGCTAGGCCTATTATATATATAAAGTGGGAGGGCAAAAAAACTACCTCTTTAAAGGTTGGGGGCAATGGCCCTCCAGCCCCCCTCTTTTTCCCCCCCGGTTCTGCCGCCGGTGACTGCTGATGTATTGTTCCTGGCATACCAGACAACACATGCATTACGATTTCAAAAAAAATACTTTTTTTCGCATAATTTATACACCTTTACACACCACAGATACAGACGTACACAACCACAAAGTTGAGATTACCTGCATCTAATTTTTCAGCCTTTCTCGTGTTTCGTACTTTTTGGCCCTTGTCAGTGTTTATAAAAGAGTTTAGGCATTTTCATTCGCACACGCATCGACAGAGAAAGGTTGTCTGCCACTTTTATTAACCCTTTATGCAAGAGGGGTTCTAACTCTAAAGGCCATCCACTGGTGTACGTGTACCGGTTCTGCTTTGTTTCCTTGTGTTGGGTGATGTTTACCATTTTCGGCACTGAAAAAAAAAAAGCACTTGAAATGTATCTCCTTCTTCCTGAGGGCGAGAAAATGGTTCCAAAGTTCTGCACTAATGTCATTTACAATGCAGATGCAATTGCTGCATGTACATGCAACTTTTTTGCCTAGATGACCGTGAGACTGTTAATGCTGGTCTCTGAAAGCAACAATAAATCAAGCTGATCACTGGTCTGTTTTGAACAAGCGTGAAGAGCTTGTACGAGGTGCAAGTCCTGAACTTTGGTCGTGGATCGGTGTCATGTGCGCAGACATACCAGCCCGGCTCAATTAAAAGTCAAACCCTTATTGTCCCGGGGTCACGTAAGAACAACACTGGACCAGCCCCGATCAGAGTTCGGGCACAAAAGACCAGATGCCAAAAATGGTGTTTCATATCGGCCCAACAATTACACCTTGAGTGTTGCCTCCCATTTTGAGGGTGTTTACTCACTTTGGACACAATCAGAGAACATCTCGGGGGGGAAAAAGGCAGCGTCGCCAGGCGCACATGATTAATTAGATTCCATGCTTAAGAGATTTTTATAGAACATGGTTGAGCATTCCATTATCACCGGGGAAACATACACCGACTGCTGAGGGTCTGCTTGTTGCACTCGGCTTTGTCTTCTTTCCCCCTCTTCAGATTGCTTCATTCGGATTTAATTTATCAAACGACACAAGAAAGTGAACAGCACTAGCGAAACATTCAGAGCTGAGATCAGAGTCTCACAACTGTACCCTAAACCCATTTTTACATTGGAACGAGAATGATATGAAGTCAGCACCAATGGCCTTTACGTACAGCACGTAATGTGGCTTCAGTTTACGATATGCCAAACCGACAACCAGTAACTATCTTTGATGCACAAATGCTATAGAATACTAGAGTTACCTCAACAAATCCTTCATTTAGACCTGATATGTGCATGTGCATACATGTATACTTGTAAGGCGTGTCTACACTGCCTACATACCGAACAGTCATTCTACCAGATTTGAGCAAGTAAGAGAAACCACTACGCCAACAACAGGTTGTTTCATTGTGTTTTCTCTTTCTTTTCAGGAACACTGCACACATCATGATTCTGTTGCCGCTGATCTCTGACTGAGATCAGATACAGAATAAAAGTAAACGTTGGGAATCTGGAAATCGGCACTCAACCAGGAAGTTATTCACGCTGATTGATCAAAGCTCAAACTGCATATCCAATGACAACCGGAATGCAATCCGACAGTTAAAGGGGCCACCAAACAGACCTTACCAATTCATCATCCGAAATGCATCTCTTCGCCATTTATCAAAAAAAAAACAACCCACAAGCAGTTGTCAAGTTCAACTGTGAGTACACAATTACATGTGTGGGATTTCACAAGAGTCTTGCATTTTTTAATAACAGGAGTTGATTATTCATACTACAATGATGTTTCCCCCAGTTGAAAAAGAAAAAATATTGGCCTGACAAATTCATTTCACCAACACGAATTAACCACTTGCAGAACTATGGACCATGTACGTGCTTTGCTCATACATGTATATGTAACCATAACTTAGCTACTACTGCCAGAAACATCATGAGGTGTGTACACCTGCACAGGTTAATTTGAAAGTAATCTAATCCACTGTTGAAACAAGGCAACCTATAGCCTTCCCCCAGCAAGTGTAAGAATTCAAAGATAAGACCCCCTGAGTTCATACACATGGATTCAGTTCGGTTGATTCACGATACTTGTACTTGAATTTCCTCACAATATTTTGTGTCAGCTGATCAGCAGTCACCACACTATAGAAAGCTTAGCTGTGGTACACTGGTTTGTGTACTCTCATGGTTTTCCCTGCAGGTTCATCTCCGGTAGTTACACTGGACTTTATCATCTCAAGAACAATTAATTTGGACTGGCATCTGGTATGATTTACTGGGTAGACATTTGAAGGCAAAAGTAACCACCACACCTGTGTTGCAGTACAGTCCATCACAAGGGCTTCAACAAATCCTTTCACAAGTCCTACTCCACTAGACTGAAAAAATAGTCGAGAGGAAAGTTACGCAGATTGTTCACACTAGAAAAAAGTATGCACGTAACCATCATCTAATTGAGTTTTAAACCAGAAAGTCCACAGCATGGACTTTAGAAGCAGGGTACAGGTGGTGATGATTCATAAATGGATGACGCTGTCACTTAGAAGAAAGCCTATCCGGTGCTCAAACATAGCAGTCTTGCTCTCGGGCAATGCCAGCCTCAGAGACAGAAACCCCCCCTCCCTTCTTTGTGCCGTGTTTCTGTTGCTCCTTTAAAGCTTCTGTCTGCCCACAAGCCCAGCATGTTTTGGGACACCTAGTGACATTGACCCTAAGTTCGAATTCCCAGTTGTTTGTGACAGGGCAGAGCATGTGGCAGGCAGGCAGGTAGGATTCTGCTCAACCCCCAAAAGTTCTTCTGATAGCTTTGGTCATGACAAAGAGAGGTTTTTGGCATGTTGATTCTGTATATCTAAGAGAAATCAAATTTCTGCTACCCTTTTATCCTCACTCATGAGAACTGCTTGGACAAATTTCATTGAGTGAATGTGGACGAAACCGTTTTGGTATGTACGGTAAGCTTACTGTATGTACTATGTAGTCACAGTGGAACCATGTGTCGGAGCATACAATCTGCCTAAACTAAATACGTAATATTACTCTCAGAGCTCCTCTTGCCTTTGAAATATTTTTCAATCTATTTCTTTTATTACCAATCCAATCTTAGGTTTTCACATTTGAAATGACCTGCTGATGAAAATGGGTCATTCTAGAAATTTGGAGTCCGATTTTCTTTTTCCATATCCTATTCTTTTCCTATGTGGCATGTGTGAGTTTGTAAGTTTAGAAAACATTCTTTAAATTCAAGAGTGATTAAGTAATGCAAGTCACCTGCCAAACAAATAAAAACAGTTGAAGTCAATTTCAATGATATATCCCATGTCAAATTACACTGGTCAGATATAACAGGGACGGACAAAGTCACCTAGCCCCGAACTGAACAGAATAACCTGTTCACCACATTCAATGAACATGAAACTGATGGATTCAACTTTTATAGAAAATAAAGCAAAGGTTACAGAAAAGTTATTTTATCAACAAAAAAAAAACCAGGTAATTTTAGAAATTTCTCCACATAGGTAACGCCCATTTTTGATGGCTCAAAATCCTGATTCAAATACATGTATCCCCTACCTGTTACTTACCCAATTAGTACCCAGAAACAAATGGGCCAATTCGGTATTAAAAAAAGCAAGGTCCTTTGGGGAACAAAGCAAGCAAAAGAGAATGTAGGAATAAATGTTCAATTCAACAACTTCTGCTGTCTTTTACGATGTTTTGTCTAATTGAACACCCAATTCATGTAACTGACATTTGAAAACTCCATAGTTGATTTCAAGACACTTGATCTGTTGCAATTTATACTTACGAGAAAACAAGTGAAGTTTATTAACCAGTCGATTGTTTGTATGCAGAAATAATAAAAGAATTAATTTTGCGAACTATAAGCTCTTCAAAATAAATTAATTATTCTTCAAAGTTTGTACACAACCAAAATGTGGAATCTCAGCAAAGTCCTGGGTTAAGAAAATTAACTGCGTTATTATTTTCTAAGTTTGATTCCAATAATTAAAACTGGGGGGAAAATTTGATGATCTGTGGACGCAACCTATTTTCCAAGAGAATTTTCTGAGTATTTCCCAACAACATCAACAAATGTTTCTCAGTTCATAATTCGTGTCTTTCCAGCATTTCTGTAATGACTGACTTTTGTTGAGGTGATATATGATGAGAAAAGTGGAGTCGGGATGCAACATTTTTTCCATGTTCTCTTCACTCCCTATAGACTTTGTACACAACTGCAGAAGTGGAGTCAGGATGCAACATTTTTTCCCAAGTTTTTAATTTTTGAAAAAAAAAACTTTGGTCACTGAAATAGCTTTCAAACCTACAGCATTTGTATATGTGAATAGCACATTTCCCCCTGGAGTTATACATGTGTAAATACATGTACATGCAGGCAGGCCTAAGGTAAATGTGTTTGAAAGTTCTTCATTTCAACCAACTTTTGATTTTAAGTCAGTTATGCAATTCTCTTAGACAAAAACAATCAGACAATACACTGCCTTAGGTGGAAACCCAACAGATGCAAAAGATGGTAAAGCCACACTGGTCAGCAACTGATATCAAACGATGCATTATTTTCCTATCTCCACGGTCTTGATACATACACTGTACTGTACATGCAGTAGAACACGTACACCACGCGCGGTTCCACACACAACATCACACTGCATGCGGTGCAAGTACCGCCACACATGCAAACCTTCATGCTTCGACGACCAGCAATTCCAGCTCACAAGAAAGTAAAGTTTTCTCGACAGCAACACTTACCCCTTAGACGCTACCATAAACCTCAGTGTATGTGCTCCATTACAGTGGAAGAAGTGGGTCCAGGGAAATCACAACAATTTGATAGTTTTCGGCAAGAATTCCATTACGGGTAGCCACCTGCCGAACACATAACGATAGAATGACTTTTGGTACTTCTTTGAATTCTTCTCCGAACTTCATGTAACAACCTGTCAACCAGCAGACTGGTATACGCTCAATGGGAACGCGGGTTAGTAACGTAAATGGTGCGGAATACCAGTTAATTGTTCCAGATTGCATACTGCAGCATCAAACGTCTAGATATAGCACAGGGTCTGGAAAAAAAAACACCTGCTACTGGTACAAGCCCGATAAGACCGTTGATTGGCGAGCAGAACTGACGGAAAAGTTTAGGTTTGTGCGCCTGTTTCCTTGCACTATGGTCTTATCATGCATCAAACTTGTGTGACTGTGCTGTGCAAACGTGTGTGACTTGTGCAACTTTTTTTTAATCCAAATACCATCACAATAAAAATGAACTTTTTTCACAAGAGCATCCAGTGTATTAATGTTTTAAGACTTAATCCGTGTGACATTTGGGGAAAAATCAACCATAGTCCCACCCTTCACCTTTTGTACCTTTTGTGATTTTAACAAATCTGATAGTGATAACAGCCGTAACAGTCACTACTTCCCAACGGTCATAAATTACAGTAATTGGTAATTTAAAATTTTAAAAAGAGATGAAGTAAACCACAATTCTTGGGGGAAAAATGTCATACATGTGTTGAACGCCATTTTCGAATACTTGAGTAGACATTTCAAGCCGTTTCTAAACAGGAGATTTTATCGTGCAGGCGCAGGTCCGGGGAGGTTGACCCCGCTCTGAAGGGGAAAATACTAAAAACTAACTAAATTAAGTGCGCCAATACCACTGTAAACAATATCAGTCATGTATAATTTTTCATCATTGTTTCTGCTTATCCGCAAAAATGAGACAAGAAATCTTCGGCCTGACCCCCACTGTGGAAAAATTCCCGGATCAGTCCCTGTCATATATAAAAAAAAATAATAAACGTGGTTGGCATGACTATGTATGGGCGTGCATGTTCATAAATTTGGGAATGGGACGGCGAAGAGAATAAACTTCAGGAGCTAGGTACACCGAAGACGAGATTCGGATGACCCCACCCCAAAAGAGAGTGCATAGACAATTAGACAACGGTCTATTATGAACTCAGTACCTGTTGATTATTGGAAAGAGAAGACTGAAAATGAGGTTTTTTGTTACTTTAAGAAACTGGTATCCAAGTCTTCTTTTTATTGGATTTTTGGTCATGAATACCCTTTCTATAATTATTGATATCAATCACAGAGCTAGCAAGTAGACAGTGAATCGGAAATCTGTCTCTCTGACACGTGCATGAGGGCGCTGTTGCATTTAAATGGGGCATTTTATTTAGTGACCACACGACGGAGTTGACCTGTGATAATAATGACTCGTGACTTGACTTGTGACTGGACCAAATGACTTGTGACTTGCCTTGAACTCATGCAAAAAACTGACTTGCTACCACCTCTGGGAATGTGCCTCCATACGCCATAGAAAATGTATACCCTGGTGGAGGAGAAATTCAAAATCAATACTGCAATGGAAAGGGAACACCCTCTTTCTTGTGTTAAATGTTTATGTAGTCTGTATTTTTGCATTTTGTGGGTTCTTCTGAAATAATTTGTGAGTCCCACTGAGTTGGATGCAACTCTGTGGTTAATCCACAAACTTAATACACAATCGAAATCGTTTAAAACAATTCTCATTGCATTATTTTATTCAAGAAAAGCTATTACTCTTGACTGCACATGGATACAAGTTTCTTAATGTGACAAAACGGCAAAGCTTGCACCGTTATGTGCTCGAGCGCGCTCGTGGGGGACGATTCCCGCCTCTCAAATGCAGCATGTACGGTACCAGCCTGGTAACCATCAACCGAAAATCACCTGTTCGTATCTATGGGAAGTCACGTGATCAGTTTTCACCGGCACGTACTGCTACGTACGTTTGGTCTGGTCTTCGTCGATCGAGGCCAGACATGTTTTTGTGTATGTGCGACGCGTGTACCGTATCCTCATTAATGCGTACCACTGCACTGGCTATGTGAATGGTGCATCGACTGTATTGTTCGGGTGTTTACATTTAAGTACTGCATACATTTATTGTTGCCGGTTTCGATTGGTTTCAGGTTAAACTGTGCGTTTCAAGATGGACGAGGAAGTTGACTGGGAACTTCTGACGTGAGTGAGGCGCCTCTTCGGGTTAGTTTTTAAAGTTATAGGCCTACTCACCATTGCTGGAATATTCGAATTAGGCCTACAACGTTGGCCTAACGTTAGTCTGGCTATCATTGAGTTTCAAAAAAGGGAAGGTTACTTGTCAAATTTAAGGGGGATTTTAGCCGGAATAGCATGAATACGATAAAACTAGGGGGCGATTTTGTGTAGGAAGAACAGGTCTTAACTTTTATGTTAACATTAAGAAAAGCTTTCAAATTTGTGGGTGTTCATGACGTGATGAAAATTGTGATAAGTGATACATAATTACTTTTTTATGTCCTTCCACCCCAGTTTTGCCTGAGGCCTACATCATGTATGATAGACATGATCAGTGGGCAGTGGTGGATAGACTATGTGGTTTATTGCACTTAATTATCATGATCATTCAGTTGGTTGATCCTAGACAAAATCTTATAACCTTATGACTGCTAATCACACACGGTCGTGACCATGATGAAAACTAGATTAAAGAAATGGTGATTGATGGATGGCATCTAGGCCTACCCCCAGAATGTTCCGGACCACACAGTTCTAGAACTGTGTGGCCCTTTGTCTGCCATGCCTGCCGCACTCGGATGACGAACCACACCGTTCTGGTGGTCGGATGGTATCGAGGTCAACAGATTTTGCACAGATCAATCAGCTGTGCCCATCTCGTTGTCTTTGTCAAATAAGTGAATGAAAAAAGAATCATGTTTAACATCCAGCCTGTTTCCTTTTTGGAGGCCACCTGGATTGATTTTTTTTTTAATATTTACCTCAGGAAGAATAAAATGATAAACAAGTGTCAACTAATCCATCATAAAATATACTTCGGGGTTGGAACTTTTTCTTCATTGTATAGTAAAGAGTGTTTTATCTGTTTCATCCCAACTTTGTCTATAGTCCCAACTGTGTGCAATGCCCACTTGGGGCATGCCCAACTTTGGTTGTCCGGTTGAATAGCACCAATGAATGAAATGATGAATTTAGTGAAGAAATGTACAGACATGCCAGACCCAAGATCAGTTGTAAATGTAATCTGTTTAACACTAACTCATCACAAATTTACTCCTTCAAAATTACTTGAAAATAGTTCAGAATGAAGCAATAGCTGGTAGAACTCCAGATAATAAATTGCTTTCATAAATACATCATGGTGATGCAAAGAAAGTACATGTACTTTTCATTTTCCCTTCAAAAGTGTTAAAATTTTAAATGATTCTGTACATGTATCGCTCAGTCCAGAAGTTATTTCACTTCCGCTGAATAAAATGCAGTTGATCGGCTGAAATAGCCCAAGAGAAAGATGGGCAAAACAAAGATTGCTTCAATTTTGCCTAGTCCTGCAACATCACAGCAAGACACATGGGTGTTCGTGCGCACAGCATGACATGCACACCGCTCATTCTCATTTGGAGGTGTGCTAAGCTCTAGGGTCTTTATGAGCGCAGAACACGGCATTCCAGAGTTGGTCCAACCTCTCTTTTTGTGTATGGGGTTTCTAGGGCACTTGTGCACAGAGTCTGTCAGATTGCTCGTTTTGCTTTTTATCTTGAGCGTATTTACAGACTTGAGCTGCAAGCGTTTTCTTTGTTTTTCAAGATGCAGCCAAAAACATTATTTGTTTCCAGTATTTTTCTAGGGTGTGGAGCCTTGGATGGGGAAGTGGATGGGATCCACATGTATTTGATGCACCACTGGTAATTGGGGTAAACACTTCACCTACCAATCGTAGCACTAAACGACCCGGGACTGCAAATACTTGAGGTGCTCTCCAGGCATCCAAGGTTCAGGGCAGGAGAAACACTGATCGCATAGCTCAGCCTGCTTGTGGAGTGTTGCACAGAAACCCTCTACACAGGGAACCCCACCTTGTGGGTGTGCATGCTGCGACTGCGGTCCCTTAAGATCCCCCACATTAATTGTCCTTCTGACAGTACACGAGTCTGCTGCTTCATAGGAACTGCTGAGTGGATGGGTTACCAGGTGACGCAACTGGCCATTCAGGTGAATTGAATGTAGTTTATTAGACTTTGAGCAATGCAACGACCGCATGGTAAATCAAAACAGACAAGCTTACGTGAGGAGCTGGCCCGGAATCATGTGGTGTCAGTACCCTCAAGTTATCCTCGGTAAATAGTGACAGATGGTGCTCACGCGTAATGGTATTAATTGTTGCAGGTTACATGTAGATTCCTAGTTTACTTTTGACTGATTGGAATCGTACACTGTCTGGAAGATCAGTTCAGCTGCAACCCCGCTTGAAGGCAAGAGATGGGTGCCCTCTGGACCAGGTACAGCGCCAGTCCAGTTTGGGAGAGAAGTGCCCCGCACTGGAAAGAGTTTGCAAGCATTCGGGACCTTCAGGATTAGGTGAGCAATGCACATGGGGTTGTGTCAGCTTGATGGAATTCTCCTGACTATGTAATAATGGTGACAAGTTAAATTTACTTGATGTTAAGGCTGGCCGATTGTACTGCAGTCATGGTGTGCGTTAGTCTCAGTGTCCACAATTAATCGTGTTAGTATCTTCCGTGGCCCGGTTTTAGGTTTGACACTTCACAAAGGCTGTGATCTCTGTGCCAGCCTTGGTCTTGGAGCCCTCACAAATGTTCCTACGGGCAGTGAGAGTTTTGAAAGCGAGATTTCTTGACAGGATACCCATTGGCTGCAGTGGTTGAAATTGGCGTGGTCATTTTTCTATTTTGTTAGAAAAAGATGTCTGGTGCTCTGTCTGACAAGAAGTCCTCGTCGATGGACGGGGGACAGGAAGAGGATGAGGATAAGCAAAAGACAATACAACCCAAGAAGAAAGTCAAGAAGAAGAGAACGCCCGTCGGAATCAACGTGACCCTTACCAAATACGAAGTGGGTGAGTGCCTCAAAATGGAGTCTGAATTCATGAAGACCATCTCAGTAGTAACAGGACTCCCAGAGTGCTTTATATAATCATTCAAGTCAAAGAGATGAAGGTTGTAACTTGCTCTCCAAGAACTACGTTGTTGCAATTCAAGTTTTGATCGCTGTGGGCTTTCCAAGTGGACATGAGTATGGGAGTGCGTTGCGTTGTCAGAGGGGGCGTGTGCGTCCACTACAACTTATGCCCTGCGCTGTGTACTAAACCTTTGCGATACAAGTACGTTGTGCGCAATAGCTTTTGCAGACTGGATGCGCAATAACCATTGTTGACTGATATATATTCACAGCAGCAAAGACACATTTTAGTAAAACCTGGGGATGTTTTTGAATTTCACTGTCTGTGACCTCTGTAGACCCTTGCATTTCTTCACACAGTTTTCTTTTACTTTCCACAGTCCGTTCAGTGGCTTTGAAATTTGGTGTACACTCAACCAAGGAAGATGATCAAAATTGGTGGGTGGTTGCATTCTCCCTAATTTGTATGTTTCGTTTTTCTTTTCTTTTCTGTCATGCGTGAGCTCATGCAGAGTTGAAAAGCTGCCGTGTTTAAGCAATTTCATAGTGCTGCTTAAGCACAAAATTTGCTTAAGCACGAAAAAACTTGCTTAATAAATAAAGGTTACCAGCTCAGAATATGTGATTGTCATGCTTACCAAAAGACAGGTGAATACCATTCCAAAACAATTTACATCACATGGAGTTTTGGCTGGTAACCTGATTTGTCAAGCAAAGTTTTTTCACGCTTAAGCAAAGTTTGTGCTTAAGCAGCTCTATGAAATTGGCCCCAGAATGTTAACTTGTAATCACCTGTGCTGTTTCCAAATGCACACTGAAGAACCAATGTGAGATGTTGCTTGACTTATGAGATAAATCAAACAACACTTGCTGATTTTTATACGTACCTAGTAGAGTGTGCTTTTGAAGGTGAGAAAGATCAGTCAGTACAAACGAAATGAGCGACCTGTTCTCGCTCATTGAATTGTCCCCTGCAGAGCACTTTTTAATTATCATGTCATGTGATTTCACGTTCTCTTCTTAGCGACTAATAAAATGTAGAATCGATTTGAGTATTGCAGTTCCCTCATTAATCAGTGTGATCAGTACATCTAATGTGGCTGAAAAATTCTGTTGTTTTTTTCGTGGAAGTATTTGAATCCTTTGAAGATTGCAGTATGGCAGTATGAATCAATGACAGGCTTAAAAACCGAACACAACCCTCAATTCGTTGATTTTTAGCTTCCTGTTCTGGAGTGACACAGCGCCACCGTCGGAGCAGATCTCCCAGCTCAAGTCCTACCAACGAATCAACCACTTCCCGGGGATGGGGGAGATCTGCCGTAAGGACTCGCTGGCGAGGAACATGGCCAAGTGAGTTCTTTCAAACCCTGAGAACTATTACAAACCTATCAGAATGTGCAATCTTGTTATTGCGCTATTTTGATGGAGTTAGGGGCTGGGAGCCCAGCCTCCGATCTCACCACCACGTCAAATGTTTAAAAAGAAACTGACTGAAGTGGGATTCAAACCTGCATCCTCAGGGGCACCGTAGCACTACTCTACCCACTGAACTACCCAGCCCTGTGTTGGTGGTTCCTGTCTTTCTTCAAGAATTTACATCTGTTTTACACATTCTGCAATGCAAAAGCAAGCTAGTGTCTCTATGCATTTTTCGTCAGAATGGTACGAGCACATCCCGACGAGTACAACTTTGTCCCAAGAACCTGGATCTTCCCCTCCGAGTACAACTCCTTCCAGAACTATTTCCAGGATCTCAAGAAGAGGAAGAAGCATCGGACTTTCATCGTAAAGCCAGCGAATGGATCCATGGGAAATGGGTATGCCTGCCGCTCATTTTGTTTTGTTGGCAGTGCGTCTGTGTTATGGGAGGTGGCATGGCTGTTGGGACTAGTTTATTTGTGTTGTGAACTTTGAATTGCCATCTGGAATAGGTAAACCACAGTGAAAGGATAACATTTTTAGCACTTAGAACACTATGAGAACAGCTTAGAAGGAGAAAACCAGGTTAGAAGTTTGTTTCAAATTTCCTTTTTTTTTTTCAGGATTTCGCTGTACCGGAACGGAGAACGCATCCCTCCTACAGAGATGACTATCGTTCAGGAATATCTAGACAAGCCGTTCTTATTGGAAGGTTACAAATTTGACTTGAGGGTCTACGTCCTCATCTTGTCATGCGACCCACTCCGAATATTTCTCTTCAACGACGGACTGGTACGAATGAGCACAGAGAAATACTGCAACCCAAATGACAGCAACGTGGTACGTTACTTTCACAAGAAGGATGGCCCATTTTGGCCCATGCACCTGCTGTTTCTTTTCTCTGCTGCTATGTCTTCCTCTCCAACCACCTGCTTGCTAATTACATCTTCCTTCACCTCACTGCCTACTCTCCTGGTTTCTAGCTTTCCTTCCACCTGCCAACTTTCCCATAAAGCCGTTGAATATACTAGATCGTCTGCTCTTTTACATCATTGTGTGTATATGTTAAGCCCAGTCATTTGTGACTGCCTGCAAGCTTTTTTCAATTTTTGCTTTAAGTGTTTGAGACACAAGTTAAGAAATTGAATTATAAACAAGTATCGTTTTTTTTTTAAATAATTATGTAGGAAATATGTGCTGTAAAGTTGAAAGTGACGTTTGTATTATGAATCTCCCTAATTGTTGTAGTTTTTTTCAGTTATTGACCAATATGCAGCCAAGCCAGGTACTTGATTAACCCTAACCCTCCTCAATCCTTCACCTGTTGGAGGACTGAGGAGGGTTAGGGTTAAACATTCGTCATTTCTGTATCCAATCCAACAGGATCAACTGTACATGCACCTGACCAATTACTCCATCAACAAGAAAAGTGGAAACTTTGAGCGAAGCGAGGATGTCAATACAGGCAGTAAACGCTCCATCAAATTCTTGAATGAGTACCTGCGGAAAAACGATTACGACGTGACCCTCATGTGGAAAAAGATCGCTGTGAGTGAATCACGTCTCCCCCATATTTGCTAGACACTCTGCACATGTCATTTTGGTGACTTCAAAGTGCCAAATTTCATGAATGACTTGAAGCTCGTTTGATGTCACTTGCTTGACAGTGTTCTCTTTTACCTGCCTAGCACAAAAACAGTTTGCTTAGCAAAGAAAAGGGGCCATCCAAATACCTTATAATTTATTGCCTGTGACCGGCTTTCAGCTGTTTTTTCCAGGCTCATAGACATGCTAAGCAATATTTTTCTGCTTGAAATCGGTCCCTTGATTCAGCAGTGGTTTGTTCCACATTAGGCCTATTGTATGCTTCACTGAAGAACCATTAAAATGATTAAGAAACAACATGCAGTTCTTGGTATTAACTTCTGAAGCAGTGCCTCAAAATTGTGGATATTTTGATATAAGAATTTAGGTGAAAGGAAATGTTATTACACACATTGCCCTAGAGTTGCCTCATGTTCGTACACAAACCCGGAATGTGCATTGACCAATGTATACATTGCTCATTGTTCAAGAGAAGTTCCTGTAATTAAGTTTTTAATTGGCGAGTATAACACAGAGGAGTTAAATTGTCCAACCCCACAGGACGTGATCATCAAGACGATGATCGTTGCCGAGCCCCACGTCCTTCATTCCTATCGCATGTGTCGCCCCGGTCAGTCTTCGGGCGGCGATAGTTGCTGCTTTGAGATTCTTGGCTTTGACATCATGCTGGACCGCAAGCTCAAACCATGGCTGATTGAGGTAAGGTTTCCAGCAAATCTCCTCACTTTGTTCTTGAGATTAGCATGTGTCACAGTGCACCTGTAAAAGCCAGATTCTCTGATACAAAACTAGCAGAACGCTGAATTCCATCTGTAGATTAATTCCAGCCTGCTATCTTGATTGCTTTGCTGTCGTCACATTTACTGACATCAGTTGAACAAAACGACAAGAGTATGTTTTTAAGGATTAGTTTTACTTCCTGCCGCAATGAACTGCTCCCTTCAAAATGCTCTTCCTGATTACAATCCACTTGCTAAAGTCTGCATTTTAACTGCCATTCTTGGCATGCCTTAATATTACTTGGGTACCCAATGACAACATAAAGGAGAGAGAAAGGCCATTTACAGAATGCAACTTTTTTAACTACATTTGTTGAAACTCACAGAAACTTTTTAGACACGACTTCATTGGCTGAAAATACCCAATTGTGACAGAACGTGATGTTTCACATAAAGAAGCATACTTTTGGGTGTAAAGCAAAAGCATACCTGATAACCATCCTCATCCTCTCTTGTGCAAATAAGGTCCGTTTTACCAGTATCCAGGAGCCCAACAATTTTGTTTTCCCCCTCACATTTCAGATTAACCGAGCGCCCAGTTTTGGCACGGACGAGAAGATAGACTTTGACATCAAGAATGGCGTCCTGACCGATACGTTCCGACTCTTGAACATGAAGCAGTCGGACAAGAGGAAAGGTCTAGCTGCCCAGAAAGCTGAGGCCCAGAAACGGCTCTTCAGACCGGCCAAGAGACCTGGCGTTGAAGTCTCAGTAAGCATAGATTCAGAGCACCTTCCAAACCTCGAAATCAATCTACCTTATGAGATACAACCACAGTTTATCCACTTGGCTTTTTACTCAATCTGCCAATTGGCTCTATGCACTCATGCTACGACGTTGTCCGAACAAAGACTTTTTAAACCCGTGTTTTCTGTTTAAAACTTTGACATGGTCAAGCTGGTTTGTAAAAGGAAACAAACCTTTAGCAAATTACAAGAAATTTAATGTTTTCTCGCAGTGAATTTGGAAGAATTATGCTGGGCCGTGCTGTGAAAGGGTTGAGGAAAAATTCACTTGTATTACGCATTTTTTCACTATCGCTACATTAACATTTCAAACAATTTCCAGTACACCCCTGATACCAAATGTGACGGGTGCACAGTCAATTCACGTGGCATGCCAAAACTAGTTGTCTTCAGTATCAGTGAAAGTATGCAGGATATTCTAATAACAGCATCTGTATCAATACTATTTCCGCACCTGGCTTTTCAAGTTTCTGAGAATGTCTTGACAGCTTTAAGATCTTGACAATGGTCCATTCACTTTGCCTTTTTTCATAGGAAGAGGACAAGCAGAAGGCGGCCGTGGAGAAACGGAAGCAGGAATTGAGGGAGAAGCTGGCGCAGGTGCGGCGAGACGGTGCCCGGGAGGACAACGAGAACCGCAACATGGGCGCCTTCCGCCGCATCTACCCACCCCTGGACAAGCTCAGCCAGGACAGGTACTACACGCTGCTGACCGACGCCTTCCAGCTCTTTCTGTCCGGCCGGGCAGCCGCCCTGCAGCGGGACGCCCTCAATACCTACAATACCAGTCTCAGGGTGAGCACAGTGGCTAGATCTGTGGCTAAACTGAACACAGGAGAAATATTGCTCTGGCACACTGAGCCAGAACTGTTATGTGCAAGATTTCAATTTAACCTGTACAGTCTGTCTATATTTGGTAAGTCTCTTGAAAAGCTTAAATAAATTACCCCTCTATGTCTTGCCCTCGTGCTAGCTTTTGTTCTAGGAAAAAGTCGGTGTTGATGAGGGGCATAGTTAAAACACAACATCTCTTATTCTTGCACAAAGCTGATGAAAAATTGGTTTCTTTGTATATTTGCAGGAAGAGGAAATCTTAGACATGCTACAGCAGTGTGATACCTCAGCAGGAGCTCTGGGAATGGCAACCAGAGGTCCAAAGGTAGAAAGGTTTACTGTGTTCAAGTTCAGTTTCTAAAAAGACAGTTGAAAATAATCACCTATGGAGAGTTCATGATTTGTTTGGCTCTGGGCACAAGTGCACCCTCTAGAAGTGAAGAATGCATGATATGAAATGATTTCCATTACAATCGACTTCTCATACTTTGTTTCATATGACCGTTGACTGTAAAGGTGCTTTAAGCCATGTTGTAAGCCTTGGAAATAAGTTGTGTGCCCTGTTTGCTCACGCATTTACAAAGGTGTATAGGAACCAGACCAGGTTTATGTTAGTGCTAAGCAAGGGAGTATTGCTTAGCATGTCTCTGGAATTTAATATGACGAAACAGCTGAAAATCTGCCACAAACAGTATGCGTCACACAACAGTTTAGCCAGTAAGCATATCTTTGCTCAGTCACTCCATGAAACTAACCCCTCTGGGTTTCATGCGCTGCCAGGCCTCACTTAGTGAGTAGTCATTCCATCATACTCGAAAATCAACGGCTATTTTGTCCTCTTTGGTAGCCTCTGTCCAGTATGCCAAGCAGTGCCGACCAAGTAGTGGAGGACGAGGAAGAGGAGTACGATGAGAGCACGTCCTGCGAGCTCTCTCTAGCCGACTCCACCCACGAGTCTCTGAGCAGCACCAACTCCGCCCACAGCGGCCAGCACCCGCCCCCACGGCCCTCCCGTTCCCTCAGCCGGGCCACCCAGGCCTCGCCCACGCTCAAGCAGCGGCCACGCCCCCAGTCAGCCAAGGGGCTCCGGTCCCGGCCCCGGCCCCCGTCAGCCGTGAAGACGCCGTCGGGTGCAAGGTCGCATTCCCTGACGAGACCCATGTCGTCCGTCAATCGTAAGCTGTCCGGAATGAGTCTCAGCCAAGCAATGGTGAGCGACTTGCTTTACAAGATACCTACCTTGCTTTATTGCATGTGTCGGCTAAACACTGATGACTGATGACCTTGGAACAAAGATTTTGACAATTAAGGATCACTGTTGCCGAGTGATCATCAAATGCAGTGACAGAAAATAGTATACCAAAATGGAAAATGGTGAACCGCTTGGTGTAGAGCTTATGCATGTCAGCCATCTTTAGGGTCAATGCTTTTGTTGTGGGGGATAAGCACAAGTGGTTTACCCATACGTATGCCTGTAGAACGAAAACGCTGACTGGGAAGGTGGATGCCATGTACAACCTCTGTACCAATTTTTGACGGCATAATAGCAACAGCGTCCCATGTTCAACCATGCCAATCTGTCAGTGATGTCATACGTAACAAGACTGCTGATAGGCCAGATCATTTTTTTTCAAATTGGCTCATGGTTCTGAATACGGTGGTTCCTCTCCCTACCTCACAGTTTATCTGCTCTTAATGATATCAGTGCCGTAGGAAACCACTGTGTTCACCTGAACTTATCGCATGGAAAATCCTTTTTTGCCCACTGGATGAATAGACCCCAGAACTCTTAGCTCTGCCGGGAGGGCATTGTTACATGATTCCATAAGTCCTAAGTCTTAACCGCCCTATGTTCAGATGCCTTAGTTCATTTCATAATTTTAGGATGAGGCACTGGCCACGGCGGCAGCTAAAGAGAGAGAGGAGGAAATTACAAAGAGAACTCTAAATGCCCTCAACGACATGAGGATCAAGTTCCCTGGCAAGACCGACGAGGAGGCCGAATGGATCTTGTCACAGGTATGGGCCTGGAGCGGGACCAAGAGAGGGCGCAATTTTCCCAGCAACTGAGGGTTCTTTGGTAGGAACTGCACTTCGCTGGTTCACCAGCGACTGTAAAATGCACGCTGTGTGGTCGTGTTGTAATTGATCAAAAGAACACTCACCACCAAAATGTCTCTTTTCAACTGATGAGGGGTGCTTCTGCCCAAGGTGGATTGAGAGGGGTTGATCTGTTACTTAACAATGGCAGTCCAGGTGTGGTGTTATCAGGTGGGGTTTTGAGGACTGTGAACTCTCTGCCTAACTTTGGATGTAGCCATTTGGTCTGCTGAAAGAGCCATTGAATGAGGTCAGAGATACTACAGATAACACATAAATCTGTGGGACATCATGCACGAAGCTGCTGGCTTGCGGCTTCTATACGTGCATGTGTTATTTCTAGCTGTGGCCAAGAAACTTGGAAACGGCCCAACATATCGCAAGTTCACACTGGTTCATTCATGCAAATGAGGCCAATCCAATTTTCAACGCAATGTGCACAAACAGGTAGTTTTGGCATGAGAGAAACCCACCGAGTGTGGATGCACGATCAAAATGGCTCCAAGCTACCCTTCAGTAGTGCCACAGTTACGCAGTATGAGGACATACTGTCTTTTCCCCCATCCTAAACTGTCTTGTCCCCCATCCTAAACTGTCTTGTCCCCCATCCTAAACTGTCTTGTCCCCCATCCTAAACTGTCTTGTCCCCCATCCTAAACTGTCTTGT